AAGTCACCGACAACAGTTTCTACAGACTTGGAAGTCCCAAGTAAAATACGTGAAGAGAAAGTACCTGTTGTTTTCCTCTGGGCTGCAGGCTATTTGCCTTGCTGCAGGGGGGGCCTCGTGGGGGCCCGGGGAAACAGGCATCACGGCCAAGGGCAGCTCCTTCCCTTGAAGTGAAGCCCCCCCGCCCCGTTTCTGCCTGGTCTTTTTTTTTTTCTTTTTGAGTCACACCCGGCTATACTTAGTTAGGGATTACTCCTGGGTCTGCACTTAGGAATAACTCCTGGTGGTGCTTGGGGTATCATAATGGGATACTGGGGATCGAACCCAGGTTGGCCGCGTACAAGGCAAACGCCCTACCCGCTGTGCTATCACTCCGACCCCTCTAGGCCTGGTCTTTATGGAGAACATCAGCATGCGTTTATTCAGAAACAACTGAGGGAACCCGTCACACATCCTTCAATTAACCAAAAATTGCACATCATTTTCAGAGCTTGTGGGATTATGCTTAAATAATAATTATAGTTCTAAGCAAAAAACGTGAGAGACCTCATAAAACCTCATCAGCTCGATGCTGGTGCTGGTCTATTCCTCAGACCCTGAGGAAAGTTTAGCAGTTAGCTATTAAATGCTTCGTTATCCATGTTTATCTTTGTATATGGTTCACGAAAATGGCCAGAACTATCTAGGTCTTTTCTGTGCTTTTAGATTCTTTCTGTGCTTTTAGATTCGTTGCAAACCTAACCAAACCAAAACAAAAGAAATTAAACAAAGTGGTCCTGTTAATTAGGAGGCGTGGGTGCAGTTATGTGCCCCATTTGGTTTTGAAAAACTACTTAGCTTTTAATTCTGTCCCAGCATTTTCTTTCTCTTTTCTTTCTTTTATTTTTAATTTTATATGTTTATTTATTTTTGTTTCTGAGTCACACCCAGTTTATTTATTTATTTTTTTCCTTTTTGGGTCACACCTGGCATTGCACAGGGGTTACTCCTGGCTTTGCACTCAGGAATCACCCCTGGCGGTGCTCAGGGGACCATATGGGATGCCGGGGATCGAACCTAGGTCGGCCGCATGCAAGGCAAGCGCCCTACCTGCTGTGCTATTGCTCCGGCCCCTGTCCTAGCATTTTCTTAACCGATCCATGTTTAGTCTTTTCAAAATGTGAAATCCGGGACCAGAGCAATAATACGGCAGCTAAGGTGCTCACCATGCACGTGGCCGGCCTGAGTTTGGTCCTCTGTATCCCATAGAGCCCCTGAAACACTGCCAGGAGTGAGTCCTGAGCACAGAGCCAGGAGTAACCCCCGAGCATCAAGGGTGCAGGCTCCAAAACCAAACAAACAAAAAAAGAAATCCAATTTTTGGCAACACACTGGTGAAGAGTAGACCCAAATTTGGTTCCTGTCACCACATGTTCAAAACTATAAAGCTTGTTGTTGAGTAAAATAATGGAAGAATAATGATGGCAGGTACCATTTTATTTAATGGCAGAACTGCTGCTTTTTCCGACAGTGAAAATCAAAGGGCAGAGTCAGAAGGGAAAGATTGTCAGTGGCCTTTTGACACCTCTCCTGTCCAGGTGCCCCCGGGGGTTCTGGTAGAGACAGGCCGAGGCTCCCCGTATGGACCAGGGCCTTCTTCTCACCAGCACTGCCTTCAGGGTAGCTGCGAGCTGCAGCTGTGCCCTGAAACTGCCCACTCCCTGCCCTGTCCATCCTGCCTGGTAGGCATGTGGTAGACATCATGGCAAATAGTTCCCGAGAATACATTCTGGGGTTTTTTTTTTGTATTTTTGGTTTTTTGGGGTTTTTTTTGCATTTTGGGTCTCACCCGGCGATGCTCAGTGGTCACTCCTGGCTCTGCACTCAGGAATCACTCCTGGCAGTGCTCGGGGGACCCTACTATGGGATGCTGGGAGTCGAACCCGGGTCGGCCGTGTGCAAGGCAAACGCCCTACCCGCTGTGCTATGGTTCCAGCCCCGTGAGAATACATTCTGAATTCAGCTGGTGACTTTCCCTGACCCCTACATTCATTTCCGTGTCCCCCCTGGGGGCAGTGAGCCCCCATTTCAGAAGCCAGGAGTTGGGGGGGGGGTGATTGCCAGGGGAACTTAGTGCAGGATTGAAGTCCAGCTGTGACCATGGGGAGGACGGTCTGAGACGCATAGCACAGGCCGGGGCTGCGAGTGGGGAGCGTGAGGCAGGGCTCACGTGGCAACGCAGGGGAGCGGCTGGGGGTATTGTGGGTGTAGAGGGTTTTTAGCTTGCAGTGCAGAGGTTCAGCAGGGCTCCGGGCGAGGCTGGGAAGGAAGGCGTGGGCTAGGTGGTGGGCAGAGACATTGCTATATGCTCAGCTGGGCAGTGGAATAAACATCTATTGACTCTCTCAAATGCCCGCGCTGCTTGCTGAGCTGAGAGTGGGTTTTGAGGGGCAATGACAGAAACCGGAAGACCAGATTATGGCCTGTCAATGGCCAGTCATGTCAACGGCCTCAGGGAGGTCAGCCCTGGAAAGGTGACAGGGAGGTAGAGACATGGGGACCTGCTGGAGAAGACCCTTAGCTGGTGGTTGCCCAGCATGCCACTGTGAGAGGACCACTGTCACATCGTCCTACTCAGGGCACCAGCAAACTCAGTGAGAACTTCCGTTGGTTAAAAACTTGCGAGGATCCTCCTAGGATGGGAGAAGCATGCTGAAAGTAGACTATAGACCAAACATGATTGCCACTCAATGCCTCTTTTGCAAACCAGAACACCCAAAAGGAGAGAGAGAACAAAAGGGAATGCCCTGCCACAGAGGCAGGGTAGGATGGGGGATGGGGGTGGGAGGGATACTGGGACCCGTGGTGGTGGGAAATGGGCACTGGTGGAGGGATGGGTGTTTGATCATTGTACAATTGAAACCCAAGCACAAAATTTGTAAATCTACAACTGTACCTCATGGTGTTTCACTAATAAAAATTAAAAAAAAATGTAAATGATGGAGAATGGGCACTGGTGGAGGGACGGTTACTGGATCATTGTATAACTGAAACCCAAGCACAAAAATTTGTAAGTCTGCAACTGTACCTTATGGTGTTTCACTAATAAAAAACAAAAACAAACAAACAAAAAACTGCTCTGTGGCTGGGCCGAGAAGCACCTCAGCTGTGCTTTGGACCCAGGAAGCAGTGAGCTCACCAGGTCCACTCACAGGTGCACTCATAGGCTCCTGTTCCCTCACTGGGATCAGTGAAATTTAGACCAGAGTACGCCAACCTTTGGGGTATCTGCACTCACAGGCAAGTGCTCGCTGTTGCTTGGTGGCCAATGGCTGGCGCTTTATTGTGCAGGACGGCTGGCTTGTCCAACCCTGCAAGATGCCAGAGAGGCTGAGAGTGTGAGAAGGATGAAAATCAATACCAGTCCATTTTTTTTAAAAAAATTTTTTTCTTTGGTTTGGGGACCAAACCCAGTGGTGCTCAGGACTTACTCCTGGCTTTGCTCTCTGGGATTACTCCTGGCGGGTCTTGGGGACCATATGGGATGCTGGAGCTCAAACCAAAGTTGACCTTGTACAAGGCAAACACCTACCCACTGTACTATCACTTCCTCCCACCCCCCCCAATTGTATTTTAAAACATTCCTACATTCTTTCCTTCCTTCATTAGGTGCTGGGGATTGAACCTGAGACCTATCCACATGAAGTATGAGCTCTATCCCGGACCACATCTGTGGGCCCTGCCAGTTCATTTTTAACACTGAATGGAAACGTTTTTCTTCTTTTTTTCCTAAAGAAGCATTGCATTAGCACCTTGAATTTTTTATTGGCTGCTCTTGATTTGACTTGTGACTTCTGTTCCTTTTCAGAATATCGGCAGTTTTTCAAGTTGTTGAGATCTTTCTTTCTTAATTACACAGTAGCTAAATGGTGATACCAACTCTGCTTTTAAGAACTAGCATGGGTGTGAAGCAGTAGCTCGCCTGGCATGGCTTTTCTCACACCGATCCCATTCAGTTGCCCACCTAAAAGCCTTTCCCATTGTTAGGTGTTAGAAGACACCCGCCTGAGTGCCAGTGATAAATTAGCGGGATTTTAATTATTCCCGCTCCTCAAAAGAAATGAGCATCCCATGATATCTTCTTGGACACATATACTTATAAGATCTTGCCTCCTGCTAACAATCAGAGCTAAAAGGCACTAGCACCCGAGTGGATGTTGGTACCTTTGAGACTGTCACCATCGTCACCACCATTTACAAATGATGTCAGGAGAAGAATTCAAACTTAGGTGTGTGATACTCACCTGGCAGGGGAGATACCATGATCATGAAGCTGGTTTTCCCAGGGTGAGGCTTATCCATTGCACTCCGGATGTGCTGACCCGTGCGATTTCCTCAAATGTGGGAAACTCGACTGCAAAATTGGTGGTAGTGGGAGACAAAAAAAATCTCCCAAAACTTAAGTGTGATAGTGACAGCTAGTGTGAAGCACAACTCCATTATAGCACGCAATGCTAAAAGCCTAGGCTTTCCTGCAAAAGTGACTGCATTCTAATCACGGCGATTCCATTTCTGAACTCTGTCCAGCCATGAAGAAGTGGCTTAGTATCCCAGCTCCTCAGTTTCAGCAGGTGTGAAGTAGGGATAAGAGAAGTAGGGAGTTGTGTGTGTAAGGAACTTGAAATACTGCTTTGACATATTTTTTTTTTTTTTGCTTTTTCGGTTACACCCGGCGATGCACAGGGGTTACTCCTGGCTCTGCACTCAGGAGTTACTCCTGGCGGTGCTCAGGGGACCATATGGGATGCTGGGAATCGAACCCAGGTCGGCCGCGTGCAAGGCAAACGCCCTACCCGCTGTGTTATCTCTCCAGCCCCACTTTGATATAATTAGTGCTGTAACTCCAACACAAGCAGGAGGATTTTGTTGCTGTATTTACTCGGTATAGGAAAGCTGATAGGAATCAGTGACCAGTGTGGCTGTAGTAGATATTCTTATGTTATCTTTTTGTTTCTTTTCAGCCTTTCCAAAGCCCAAGTGGGAGTGTGGTTTATTTGATTCTTATTCTGAGTCCAAGCCAGCAAACCAACAACCCCGTGACTTGAATCGACTAGAGGTAAAACATTTTATTATATTAATGAGTAAAACCGTGTGTGAAATTTAGTCTGTTAGTTTAGTTTTAAAGCACAAACTCTAGAAAATCCATGTTTATAGTATGTATTTTCTTCATATTTGGTGCTCTGAGGCTCTACCTTTTAACTCTAGAACCTGATAAACACTATTTGGTAAGATAAGCTAGGTAGTCACTTGACCATCTAGAGGCGAAACTTAGGAAATAGCCAAAGATAGGAAAATGCTAGCCAACTTTGGTAGCCAAGATTTAATTTGGAAGTAAACATAGCAGAGTTTTCCTATGAGCCACTGAGCTATTAATTAATTAATTAATAAGATGCAATGAACCAGAGCCATTTTTAGGGCCCTCAATTCACATTCAACGCTGCCCTCTCTTTTTAGCTTTTGGCCCAAATGAAGGCTCAGTGGCCAGTTTTTTTAAAAGCAAGGTCAGAGAATTCAGAGAACTGCAGCCTTTGATGGAAGGTGGCTTGTGGTCCTTAAATAAGCATCAGTAAGAAGGAGCCCTTGGGCTTAGTGTTGAGAGTAACACTCTGACTGCCATTATTGCCATGTCGATGGCTACACTGGCAGTGTAGACCCCTGCTGTTCAAGCCTAAAACAAGTCTGGAAATTCTTAATAAGTGGAGGTTTGCTGATATTCTTGCTTGGAGTCTCTGATCCTTGTATTACCCTCGTCAGATGAGAGAAGTCAAAGGCAGGTCCAGGGCCATTTCTCTTATTTCTCCTGTTATTTCGCCTTTGTCATGGGGCATTGCAGGTGACGTCCCGTGCTCCTTTGATCAAGCAAGCCTGCTTCTGGTATCATGTCTTGTGACCTCTCTCTACTGTTCCTTTGATTCAGAGCTTCCATGCCACTTTATTCAGGAGACTTCTAGTCATGGGGAAAAGACGCAAGGAAAAACAATGAAAGGAGGAGTATTGATGGGCATTTACCGAGTTTGAGCATAAAGAAAGTTTACTGCATGCATTTGATGGAGAAAAGCAGATTTAGTAGGGAAGCCACTTTTCACCGCCGCAGTAAAATCTTGGGCTGGTGTTTTGCTCTGTTATGTTATGGGTCCCCTGATTCGAGAAAATCTTAAGTTTGACAGGCAGTTTACTGAAGCATGTCAAATTCTGATTCTTTTCAGATAAAGCAGATGCTTTATTCTAACTTACTATGGTATCAGACAATCCTGTCCTTCCAACAGAGGCAGATGATAGGATTTCAGAAATTACTGATTCATGTTGCTTTCCCATATGATTTCATTTATCATTCATCTAAAAGTATAGGAGAAAATACATACCTTGCTGTGAATTTTGTAAGAGCGTGTGTGTGCGTGCACACACATTCACACGTACCTCCACGCCTAACACACATGGCTAGGAGTTTTGGAAGCATGTTCGCACGCACGTGTGTACATGCGCGCACACACACATATACACACACACACACATGGCTATTTTTGAAGCATACACACTCCCCCCTCTGGCTATGAATTTTGGAAGCATGTGTGCATGCGCACACACACACACAGACACACACTCACACACACTCATGTCCTTAAGGGCATTATGTGTATTAGTCTTTATAGGTGTTGTGCATCTATAAATACTTTGCATACTTTAGTTGGCCTCTTGGGGGAAGCAGGGCAAAAGTACCTAGTCCATACTTTCCCCTTCCAAACAAACAAAAAGGTAAAACCAATAACAACAAAACTTTTCCCCAGTCAAGCTGATACCTCTCCGGACAGGTATAAGGAACAGAATTCAGGGGCAAGACTGAAGACTAATTGATGGGTTACCAATTCAGGAAGCTTAAGTTAGATTTTAATAGCCAGTGATGAAATCTTTCTTATTCGTCGGTTTTAGTCATCCTTCTTTCGAACAGCCTTTTGATCTCTCATGAATGCACGGAGTTAAAAGCGATTTTGGTAGCAGACTTGTGAGGGATGGGGGGAGGGGGGGACGGGGGGGTGGGACAGAGGTGCTTGTGCTGTGACTGAATTTGGAGCTAATTCAGTTCATGACCAGTACTTCTTTTTCTAAAGACAGCAGAGCTTCATTAACAAGTTTCTCTGTGGCCCCGGACTTACTTTTCATCAAGACTTAAAAGTTTCTCTTGTACAGAGACGGGAAATCCTTCTCTGTTGCCCGTGTGGGTCCAGCAGCATCCAGAAGCAGCCTCCTTGGGTTTCCATTTGCTTGGATTCGGGCGGAGTGTTTGATTCTTAAGATCGGGTCTCCACTCTGAGCCTAAGAGATGGGGAACTGCCTCAAAAGCTTCGCCTCCGATGACCTCTTGGATAGTGAGTCTCAGTCCAATCAATTGTCCTATGAGTCGATCCCAAGCCTGGACCAGGAGTTCCCTGTAGATCTGCCAGCAGCCCACCGGAGTTCGGCAGAAAATCCTTGGATCCAAGCAGAATTAGCTAGAATCCAGAGACTCAGGTGTGATCGGTGTCTTCCTATTGACACCTATGTGTTTAGCGAAGCAACAGCTCAAGGAAATCCCCAGGAGTGTGCTATCTGTCTGTCGGACTTTCTTGTTGGAGATCACATTCGCTGCCTGCCCTGCAAGCACTCCTTCCATATGGACTGCATAGGGCAATGGTTTGTGTTATCCTACACGTGTCCGTGCTGCAGGCTGCCCTGTCATGCTGTAGAGTAACCAGGTCAGGGAGCTAGTGCCGGGGCTCAGGCTGCAGTGGCTTGTCGGCAGCCGCTGTGGCAACAACCCCGATTCCATTCCCTGCCACCAGATACGGTCTCCTGAGCACTGCCAGGGGTCACTCCCGAGCCCCAGAGGCAGGAATCGCCCCCTGAATCCCTGTGTGGTGTAACCTCCCCCACCCCAGCCACCCAATGCTTTTCTCGAAGAAACTCTTGGCTTCGAAGTGAACCCAAACTTTCGTGAGGGGTGGGTGTCTCGGGCTCCTCCCGGGGTCACTCCAGGCTGGCCTGGAGGATAGATGGAGTGATGGGAATTGAATACGGGCTGCCTGCTGTATACTTGCTCTCCAAACCTACTTCTGCGTCTTTCATCTTCTGTCACGGAATCCAATGATGTCTCTTTTCAGAATGATTTCAGAATGAAGACATGATGCATAGGTTTTCTCAAAATTTCTGTACTGTGTAGATACTGAGACAAGGTACTTGATACTGTAGAAGATGAAGGGTCAAATAGAAATCTATATCTCTGTAAAGTCTTGTGCAGTCCTGTGCAGGTACTTCAATGTATAATTACATCTTATGATTCATGAAGTGTGTGTGTAAAATGCTACGGCTGTTGTATCTCCTTTCTTTTAAGCTAAGGAAAAAGATAAGTGGCTGTTTCTCCTAATTGAAATAATTTTCTTTTCTCTTTTTCCTGTTCATAATTGTAATTGGCTTTCGGGTTAATAAAATTATGTTTTAAATATGCTGAACTAAAATATTAACTAGTTTAGTTGAACTAAATATTGAACTAAAATATTGAAGCATTTAAATATGCTGAACCAAAAATTATGTTTCGAATATGCTGAACTAAAATAAAAGTGAAGTGTGTATGAAAAAAAAAAAGAATTAAAGGTTATAATTTCTGGCATACTCTCTTTAACAGTGTCTGTAACACTTAGGTGACTGGTTTTCTTTCTCTTTCCCAAAAGTCTGAGATATAATTCACATACTACACTCATCTAAAGTGTACGGTTCATTAGTTTTTAGTATATGAGTAACTTTCACTACAGTCCAATTTTTATATTTTGTTCTTCTGGTCATACCTGGATGTTCTCAGGGAGCTTACTCCTGGTGCAGTGCTCAGGGATCACTCTGGCATGCCTCAGGGAAATGTAGGGGTGCCAGGGGTTGAACCTGGGTTGGCCACATGCAAGGCAAGTGCCCTGCCCACTGTACTATTTCTTTGGCCCTTACCGTCTGGTTTTAAAACATTTTTATGAACCTCCAAAGAAAGTCTCTACGTGTTATTTCATTCTTCTGTCCTGTCATTCTCTGGTAACCACTGAATCTGTTTCCTGTCTCAGAATCTGCCCATTCGGGACATTTCATATAAACAGAACCATACATTATGTAGTTTTCTGTGAGTGCTTTCTTTTACTTAGTATACTGTTTTGAAAGTTCATCCACATTGTAAGATGTGTTAGCGCTCTATTTTTCTTTATTCCATTATGTGAATCTGCTACTGTTTGTTCATCCATTCTTCTCTTGGTGAGCATATCGGTTGTTTTCACCATTAGACTCTTGGGGGGAAAAATGCTGCTATGAACCTTCATGTGTAGGGATTTTGTTTCTGTTTTTGCCACACCCAGTGTTGCTCAGGGCTTACTCCTGGCTCTGCGCTCAGGGATCACTCCTGACAGGGCCCAGGGCACCATGTGGAGCTCAGAGATTGAATCTGGGTTGGCTGTGTGCAAGACAAACACCTCACCTGCTGCACTGTCGCTCTGGCCTCTCATGTACAAGTTTTTATGTGAACATATGTTTTCAGTTCTCTTGGATAGATACCTGGGAGCAACGTTGTTGGATTATATTTTAACTTGTGTTTAACTTTGTGAGCAGCTATCAAGATGCTTTCCAACTAGTCAGGGGCTGGGGCAATAGTACAGCGGGTTGGGTGCTTGCCTTGTATGCAGCCAACCTCGGTTTGGTACCTGGCACCGTATACGCTTCCTTAAACTCCACCGGAAGTGATCCTTGAGCACAGACCCAGGAGTAAACCCTGAGCACCACCGGGTGTGGCCCAGTACTCAACAACCAACCAACCAATCAACCAAGCAAACAAAACAACTCTTTTCAAAGCAGCTGTACCTTTTAATATTTGTCCACCGTGTATGAGGGTTCCAAGGTTCCAACTTCCTGACGTTCTTATACACTCTCGCTATTTTTCAACCTTATTTTAGCAAGCTTCGTTGGAGTGAAGTAATTTCTCATTTCTAAACTTGTTTTTAATTTACTTTTGGTTTTGGGGTCACACACTGTGGAGCTCAGGGCATACTCCCAGCTTCTCGCCCAGGGGTCACTACTGGTGGAGCTCGGGGGACCATATGGGGTGTCAAGGATCAAACCCTGGTCAGCCATGTGCAAGGCAAGTGTCCTACCCTCTGTACTATCACTCTGGCCCTTTTTTCCAGAATTTTTACACAATAGATATTTGTATATGAGTATATATTATTCATTCATTATTGTTAGAGGTCTTGGATTCCATGCTAAATAAGAACTTTTAAGAAATACATTTATAGTAAGTAGAATTTTAAACAGTTTTAAACTAATAAATGTTTGATGAATGTGTAGATTTCATTTTCTTAATATAGGGGTCCAGCTTAAGTAAATTAAGATAGAATTTTGTTGGGTCCATCATTGAAATGTCTTATTCCTGAAGGAGGATATTTGAATCAGAATTGAACACCTCTGCCTACTAGCTTCTGGCAGAGACCCACATGATGGGGCCTCTTGTGTCGGTCTCACGGCTTATGGAGGATTGCATGAAGTACAGGTTTGTTCCTGACTGACAATGCAAATGCTATATGATTCTCTAGCTGAACCCCATGCTGGATTCAGATTTCATATACTGTCTGCCCATATGCCTCAGTGAGAATCATGATTTTTATCATCTGTGTATTTAACTGTTTCCAATACAGATGCACTTTTATACCTCATCAGGAATCGGAAAAAGGTAAAAGTATATGAAATGTCAGGATTTTCTGAAGGTAGAAGTATTGGCAAGAGATACAGCTTTTAAAATATTTTTATCATATGTTTCCAACATTGCTTCTTTTCCAACCCATGTAAATTTACTTTTCTTTTCGAAGAAGACATCTGTTAAAGACATGGCTGATTTTCCTGTCTCTACCCAAGATAAGACTGTGGATGACAAGCAAGGTAGGAGAAGACTCGGTCTTATTCCTTTAGGAACATTCGGTTTCTTTACTTCTTTTTGAATGGCTGGGTTCTAGAATATAAGAAGACAGTTGTTGGCACATGAACGTTCGAATAGATGTCGATCTGTAGCATGAACATACATACATACGTATATATATATATATATATATATATATATAGCATGATGGATTAATGAATCCCACCTCTTGTCACAAAACTATAATTCATAAGGTGACAGAGTGTGAGTCTTGGAAGTTGCCATCCCATTGGCCCACACTGATAGCAGCCAAACCGAGTGCTGAGCCAACGGAGTGCTTAGTTCCTTGTGTTGGCAGAAGGTGACTCCAGAACAACATTCTGAGTACATGTTTGGACACAGATCTAATCCACGAGGAAATGTTCTTGGGAGTTTTATTGTCAGCGACTTTGGGAGCGTAGGGATGTGGTACAGAACATCATAACAACAATTTGCCTATCTTGTCGGGGTGGACAAGAAGTGGCACAGCACATGTCCCCTGGTGTCACTGCTGCCTAGCTCGGAGTTGGGTTCACCCGGGAGTATCCTGAAGAGCAGCCCAAACCCTCCAAGCCTTCTCCCCAACATGCAGAGACTCTCAGCTGCCACTTCCTCATAGACCATTTTCTTTAGTTCTCACAAAACTGTGCAGAGGTTGGTATGTTTCATCACCTGGTGTTCGAGAAGAGAGAAGCAAAAACCCGGCTGTGTGAACATTTTGCTTAGTAGGAAAAGACCTCCCAGAAGAAGAAGAAGAGTTAGTTTTTAAATCTCAGGCCGGTATTCCTTCTGTTGTGTGATACGTGATTTCCTGCCCATGAGTGAGAAGCTTATCTAGAGGGAATAAACCCCACTGCAATGATTAGGTGTGACGGTGAAGGCCTGCCATTGCTGCAGTGGTCGAGGCAGGAGTTAAGCATGAAAATGAAGTTTTCTGTTAGGATACAGCAGTCATATTTGCTGAGGGAAGGCAGGCACAAGTGAGCCGATCCTGCTCTTAACTCCTGTGGGCAGACCGGCTGAATTCTGTGTCTCATTCCCAGGGACGTTGATGTCCCTCACCTGGCCATCAGCAGTGCTGGCGGGAGATTCCTGTGAGCTTCCTGGCACTATGGATTTGTTCTCTGGAAAGTTCAGAACACTGCTTTGTTCTCCAGGGAATGTTTCCATACTTAAAGCGATCTTCATTATTTTTGAAAATGGTGTAGCAACTTGAAGAGGTTTGGAAGAGCCTTTAAAAAAGAAAGGAAAACCAGGCTGGAGTGATAGTACAGCAGGTAGGACATTTGCCTTGTGTGTGACCGACCTGGGTTCAATTCCCAGCATCCTGTATGTTTCCCTGAGCACCGCCAGGAGTAATTCCTGAGTGTGGAGCCAGGAGTAACCCCTCTGCATTGCCGGATGTGACCCAAAAAGCAAAACAACAACAACAACAACAAAAGATAAGTAAAATCTGTTAAAAAAAACCCAGAAAGCTAGAAATTGAACTTCCATACTATCCAGCAATACCACTTCTGGGAATGTACCCCGGGGGGCCCAAAATCACACGACAGGAATGCCACCTGCATGTCCATGTTCATTACAATACTACTCACAATAGTCAGGATCTGGAAACAACCCATGTGCCCGAGAACGGACGACTGGTTAAAGAAACTATGGTGCATCTACACAATGGAATACTTTGCAGCTGTTAGGGAGTATGAAATCATGAAATTCTCTTCCAAATGGATGGACTTGGAGAGTATCATGCTGAATGAAATGAGTCGGAGGGAGAGGAACATAGAATGATTGCAGTCACTTGTGGGATGTAAATAAACATAATATGAAACTAATACCAAAGGCAGTTGAAACAAGGGCCAGGAGGATTGGTCCACATTTGGAAGCCTGCTTTTAGGGCTGTGGGAGAGGGAAGTTGAGATAGAGAAGTGACCACTATGACAAAGATAGTTGGAAGTCGTCCTGAGTAAGAACTGCATGCTGAAAGGGGGTAAAGGAACAAACAGGATAACCTCTCGGTATGTAGATGGCAAACCATAATGCCCAAAAGTAGAGGAAGTGGGGCAAGTTGGGGAGAGGAATGTGCCTGCATAGAGGCAGGCTGGGATGTGAGTGGCGGGAGGGAAACTGGGCTCATTGGTGGTGGGAAATGCACACTGGATGGGTGTTGGAATATTGTATGACAGAAACCGGTCATGAATAGCTTTGTAACTGTCTCTCACAGGGACTCAATGAAAACTAAGTTTAAAAGGAAAAACAAAAAAAAAAAAAAGAAAATCAGTTATGACTAGGGATTCTTTGTTTCTAATGAAATGTATCTCTGAAATTAAAAAATATATCGTGTTTTTTATTTCCCTTTCTCTTTTGTTCTTTAAAAACAAAACTCTGCTAGCTTTGAAAAGCACTACAGATGAGGCCAAACCAAAAGACATGCCCAAGGAGTCAGGTAGGAGAAATACGTGTATATACATATATGTATACATGCATACATATATAAATTTGTTGTTGTTGTGTGGCGCATACCTGTGCTGCTCAGGGCTCACTTCTGGTGGGGCTCAGGGCAGAATCATGGGTACCAGGGATCGAACCCAGGTTGGCTGTGTGCAAGCCAGTTGCCCCACCTGCTGTTCTGTTGCTCTCGCCCCTAAATGTATTTTTATATATTATTATGTAAATCTTTCTAGGGCTAGAGCGATAGCACAGTGGTAGTGCGTTTGCCTTGCGTGCAGCCAGCCCGGCCGAGTCGAGTTCAATTCCTATGCCCCTCTTGGAGAGGGAGAGCCCGGCAAGCTACTGAGAGTATCTCGCCTGCACGGCAAAGCCTGGCAAGCTACCCGTGACTTATGCCAAACACAGTAACAACAAGTCTCAAAATGGAGACGTTACTGAGCCCGCTCGAGCAAATCGATGAACAACGGGAGGACAGTGACAGTGGCAGTGAAATCTTTCTAAATATCTAAGAATTGTAGTGAGTAGAATATTAAAAATATATCTGTGCTTGTGTGTATGTTTCTCTCTCAGTATTTGTATTGTGTTTCATTATAAGGAAACATCTCTTATTTTTCTGCTCCTTTCCTCTTTCAGGTATGAGCAGGGTTTTGCTCTTTTATATGTTTTTAAGTTCCCAATTTAGATTTCTGGAAGGATCCCTTCATTTGAATTGAGGATCTCATTGTTACGAAGTGTAAAATGGTGACGGCTGAGAGTACAGAAGATTTCAACAATCCATTGTGATTTCTGTGTAGAGCAAGGACTGATGGGATAGCGCAATTGGAGGCCCCCAGTGGGACGTTTTCATGGCCACAACTAAAATCCCAAATATTATCATGGTACTGCTCTTCCAGGAAGGCAAGGGAACGCGCAAATACATGCAGTGGATTCCAAGGAGAGTTGCATGTATCTACTTTGTGGAGAGTTGGGCTTGGGTCTGCAGTGCACGCTCATGACTAGCTCAGCATCACTGGTCCTCAGCATCCCTGGTCCTCAGCGGAGCCATCATTGACTCTAGATGAATCTAAATTTAACAACTGGGTAGGGTAGATGTTACTCTTTGAATCTCCAGTTATGAGGGCACGAAAGAAGATGCTGGTTTTTTTTCCATTTTATTGTTACTGCTCTCAATATTTAATAAGTAAGGCGTGTTACTTGGGTTAGCTTGCTACTATCCCAGATGTATTTAAAGTTGGAACGGAAGAATCAGTATAACACCAAGGCTTATGCTGTAACACAATATTTTCCCAACGTCAAGTTCATTCAGGGTTTGAAAGAGAGAGAGAGGGGGGGGGGCTTGGAAAGAAAGGGGATTAAGTGAACTGGGAGGGAAAGAGGATGGAGAGAATATGAATATGAATGAGACGATATGATTCTGCTCAGCCTGTCGGATTATTTATTTATTTGGAAGGGTGGAGACACTTCTTCCAGAAAGCAGTGCTGAGAAGTGAAAAGTGAGAAAAAAATTCTAGATCAGCTATGACTCCCTAGTGGCTGGAATTCCCCGGATTCTGGTTCCTTTATCATAGGGGAAACACTCCGTCCCCTTCGTGCCTGGCAAATACCTGAGCTAGGTTCTTCCCTGCTGGAATTTCTGGGAGTAACTCACCTGTGCCCCAGGTTTTGTGAAGCTTATGTTACGGCATTTAGTAAAAGCTGCTAAAATCCAGAGAATTAACCTGCTGCTTCTCCAGTGGTCATCGAGGCTATTCACTATTCCATTTTCCTGGGGCTTTAGAACAGACATCAAGCGTTCTCTGGGGTTTGGGCGGGAGCAAGGCCTCCTTTGTAACATCCCTTTATTGAACAGGGCGTGGTATCACCAGGCAGAACCTATCAGGGCTTGTCATAGTGCATGACATATGTGGGAACCGTTTCATTCAGCTGTATAATCCCTGGTGAATTCTTGGCATCTCTGCCCCTCCTGGAGTGAGTGTGAGGAATCCCTCATCCAAAGATGCATCAATGACTCCCCACCGGGGTCTGTTCTGTTTGGATTTCCAGACATCTTTAAGGCCAAGCTTTCTATGTCTGGACAACTGTCCACGTGCTACATGGACCGTTCACCCCAGTTGAACTTGAGGAATTCAGGCGTTTTGGAGAGTGAAACTGTAGCCTTGCCCTCATATGTTATTTGCTTCCCGGAAAGATGCCAGGCCTGCCATGTCTGTGCCAAGTTGTGCTCCTTCCCTCTCTGGCCAAACAGAACATCCATGATCTGCCCCTGGGCTTCTTCCTGGATGGCAACACCAGCCCTTTCCCACGTTTCCGTGTTCCCAGTGCTGAGTGTCAAGACACTCAGTGGCTTTGACGCTCCTGGGAGAGTTCATGGGACAGGCCTCCCCGTCTTTTTCTGCGCTCCCAAACCTGGGGGGTGCTGATCATACCCTGTCTAGGATGTGTTTTTGCAGGTCAAAAGGGACACGTCTCCCTGTGCTGCTTTCCTGTTGGTGGGAATAAGGCTGATACTGATCAGAGTAATAATTGTGGCCAAGGTGATTATGTGGAACTGTGTTGTCAGGAACTGGGTGACACCTTACATAGTTTTATACACCCTTACCTTTTTCATTGGTAGTGTTATCGGTGGAGTCCAATGAATTTCTTTTTATCAGATCATATAACATATATATGTTCTTTTTATACATTTTTATATTTGTTCTTTTTATGGGCTAGAGCGATAGCACAGCGGGTAAGGCATTAGCCTTGAACGCGGCCGACCCAACCAACCTGAGTTCGATTTCTCTGCCCCTCTCAGAGAGCCCGGCAAGCTGTCGAGAGTATCTCGCCTTCACGGCAAAGCCTGGAAAGCTACCCGTGATGTATTCCATATGCCAAACACAGTAACAAGTCTCACAGTGTTACTGGGCCCTCTCGAGCAAATCGATGAGCAATGGGAGAACAGTGACAGTGACAGTTCTTTTTATACATATATGTTCTTTTATACATATATATAAATGGAATCACTGTGAGATATATACAGTTACAAAGTTGTTCATAATTGGGACCGATGGATTTTTATTTTTTCTTTTTGGGCCACACCCGGCGATGCACAGGGGTTACTCCTGGCTTTGCACTCAGGAATTACTTCTGGTGGTGCTCAGGGGACCATATGGGATGCTGGGAATCGAACCCGGGTTGGCCTCGTGCAAGGCAAACGCCCTCTCCGCTGTGCTATCGCTCCAAACCCCCCTGCTCCCCGATGGATTTCTCAATGAACCACGTTCTGGCTTCGTTCAGCCGGGCCTGCCATACCATGGCCAGCTTCTTCTGACATGGCCGGGTCATGCTGAGGGAATTAGGCCTGTTTGCCCTCACAGGGTGGCCTGCACACAGGTGGTGATTGTAGCAGCTGCCTGATATTATGGAGCAGAGCGGGACAATCGTTTGTCACCTGCTTCTACCTGTACCCTCTTTTCTGCCCCTCCCACAAGATGTATATTCACATCAGAAGCCCCAAAGTTACTAATCAGATTGTAAATCACAATTTCTAAATTAATATATATATATATATATGATTATTTGAGGGACTGAGGAAAGACTTTCAGAATTTCCAAGCTTGCAAAAGTTGGAGCCGTGTCCAATGGCCATGCGTTTCAGTTCTCAAATGTGTCGAGTTTCCAAAGGGCCTGCACCTCCTTATCACTCCCAGTGAGAATGGTGCCATGTTTTCATTATTCCCGTCCTGTTGGTGAGGAAGCTGGAGTTCAGAGAGGTGATGGCTGTTACTGCCATGGCCAGGAGAGGCATGGAAGCCCCAGGACCAAGCTTACCCATCGGCCTCCCCCATCTGGCTGCCCGCCCACAGCTAGCTATCTCTCCCTGGCAGCTCCAGGCCTTCCATCCACACCCATTTCTGCCCCAGCTCAAAGGCAAAGATACTGGTGGCTGACAACCGTCACCATGATGTGTTCTGTGGCCAGCACAGTCTTTGACCATGGCCGAGCTGTCTGCCTGTGTGTTTCCGGAGAGCAGCGGGGCCTGAGGGAGAAGAGGGGTCTTGGGGTCTGCTTGGAGGGGCCGCCTTCGGCTTGGCGGTGAGTCTGGTCACACACTGTCTCCCCAGCCCCACCGGGGCCCCGCTTGGCTAGAGGAGAGAAGCCCCACTTGGCTGCTGTCCTAGCTGCCTGAGTGTGTTGCAGGGAGACTGCAGAGCCCTGTCCTGGCCTTCACGGACCTCTTGTTTGGCAGCACGTTGGTGCTGGGAAGGGGACCGAGGTCTGTGTGCTCCTTCCCAGCAGCCAGAATGCTGAGTTGGGGGAAACGCCTCTCGCCTCTTGTACAGCTGACTGCATCTCAGGGAATATACAGTGCTAGTTTGCTTTTTGCCTGGTTAGCGTTTTGGCCCCCCATCTCTGTCCTGCTCATCTAAACCCAGGATCTTAATGATGACTGTAAATTCAGACTGCTTCATGCCAAGGAGGGATTTTTTTTTTCCCCACCCCCTGTCATTGAAGCACTGTACAAGATTGATCGATGCAGGAAGATGTTTTCTTTCTGGAAGAATCTGCACACTGTCAAAACTGTGTGCTCCTTTTTGCTTGCTAGTAGTACCACGTCTGTGAATTTGTAGCAAAGTTTTGCGATGAAAAATGGGCAGTGTTGGCAGAACCTAAACATAGCTAGTGGCTTTTAAAGTTGCCTTCTGTATGGGGATTGAAAACAGAAGAGACATTCATTTTTGGGGGGGGGCGGGGAGGGGGCGTGGGGAGGGTGTTTCTAATTACTCCCAGTGACACGTTCCGGGAAACTGGGTTCCATGGATGTTGTAGGGAAGCTAGTGAGTTTATGAGTTATGTTTGCTAAGGAAAAGTCAGGAGGGTTGACAGAATATTCTGATTTCTCACGGTCAAGTTGTGTTTTGGGTTGGGTTGCGGAGACATGCAGCAGAATTATGTTTTCTTCTAGGAAATGTGGCAAAGTTCATTTTGGCTCCCTGTGATTTCTTGTGCCTTGCTGCTCTGCCTTGCTCCTCCAGGGGTTTTCAATTTGAAGAAAATATGTCGCTCAAAAGAGCCAGCCTTCAAGGGAGATAGTTGCAGGATTTCTATGGGGCTCTCATGACAGACCTTGAAACCCTCGAGAGAGCCCCTCCCTTCTGGAAAGATAGCACCCTTTGAGAATCTTCCCTGAGCGGGAATTTTATCATTAAGCACCTCCGATTTAAGAGTGGCTTCTTAGTACTGCGAGGAAAGGAAAAATTCGCTGCTTTTTCTTTTCTTGAAATTATGCCTCTAGCTTTCGAAATGAAATGGTGAGATCCTGGAGGGGTAGAAGCCGCCTCCTGCTCGGCGTTTACCCCCCTGCCTCACGCTTGTCTGTCACTGTGTTCTGACCAGCCTAGGTGTGCGAGCTAAGCCCGTGTAACTGCAGAAGTGAAACCCAAATAAATAACATCTGATCTTTGTTTCAGTCCCGCCTAAGGATTCCAACAGTCTCAAGACAAGACCGAGATCCAGGTAGTGTTCGTTCTGTTGCTGCTTTAAAGCCCGTTGTGCCCTGTGCCTGCCTCGAGACCAGGCCGGCCTGTGCGCTCCTCGCCCTCTGGACCAGAAGTTCAGAAGATGGGCAAGTGCAGAGTCTGGAGGGGCTTGCTGAGAGCTTGCACTACGGGGGGGGGGGGGGGGGGGTGTGGCGGGGAATCTCTGGGTTTCTCTCCTTATTTCCGCCGGAAGTGTGGCTGCTGCTTGCTGGACCCCTGACATGAAGAAACATCCTCTGTGCTAGGACCCTGTGGTGATGGGTTGGTAACTAAGAGGGGGGAGTAGCCTTGAGCCTTGGGTAAAGAAAATGGACCTGGAAATAGGCCGCCACGACGAGGTAAATCAAGTCTAGCACAGTGAAATGTCTGGGAGGTCAAAGTGTAGAAGAAGAAGGAGAGAAAACACTAGTAATTTCAGTGGGACTGACTCTTTCACGTAGGCAGAGAGTAGGAACTGCTGGGGCTTATCTCAGCCTTGCTGCTCCACCTCACAGTTCAAAAAAAGAAAAACGTTGGGGACAGGGGTTCTCAAGCAGTGCTCAGGGAGTCCTGGGCCCCCACCCACAATTCTCGATCAACTGGACTGGTGGTTCAGCGCAAGGGCCTGAGGAGGCAATGCTGCTTGGGCTTGCAGTACCTGGGTAATCGCTTTGGTGCTGGGGACTTTCAGGGCCACACTTGGAGGACCCTTGGGGGACCCTGTGGTACCGGGGATCAGGCAGGCAGACACAGACTAGGTTGTGCCGAGGTGCTGTACTCCTGTAGTTCGCTGTGATGCTGGCTCCTGGCCCCTTGGAAACTCGTGCAAGAGGGTACCCCTAAGGCCGAGCCGTACTTGGCCCCCGCCACCAGTGGTCAAGGCAACAGGTGCCAGGACTGCGCTGTCTCCACTTGGTGACTTGGCTCTCCTCTGGCTCTTAGGTGCATTGGGCAAAAAGAGAATTTAAATTCGATCATGATCCATATGCTTGAAATACTGACATGTAAGGAACTCTCCTCTTCTTGTGAGTCAGAGTTAGGCCTTTGTTTATCCCCGACGTCTGGATTTTCCCACATGAGGTTTGATTTCCGGTTCACAGAAGGTCCTCTTCTCCATATTGCTATTTGGAAAAGAAGTAGTTCCTTTGGCAGCCGAAAAACCTTTAGTCTAGGTGTTAGTACTAGCTTTAGGATGTCTGAATAATCTTAGTTCTCTGTGGGAGGAGACACTTCTTGTGAATGAGAGAAATCTGTGTATGTGTGTTACATTAACTCATACTACATCTCATGCTTCACGCTTCAGACTCACACTATTCCAAAGCAAGTGAAACCACCAAGCCTTATAGTCACATACTCTGTTGTAAAGGTGTCTGGCTAAATTTTATGCATTACCCATTTAGGAATGGGTCTTTTGGTCTAATCTGGATGTTTTTATTTTTACTACTCCCATTTGGGTCTTTGCTGAGAGCAAGATAATCAAATTATTTTTTATCCTCCATTTTAGAACAATAAAGCTATGTAAAAATGTGAGGGAAAAGAGAAAAATCACCATTTTACCGCACTATTAGATTCATCGTTTTATTGCTTCTCTCTGCATTTGTATTTTAATTGACTGCAGCCCTGGTTTGATATTCAGTTAATTTTCCATAGGAAAATATAAATACATAGGTTCCATATGGAAATAAAATGGAACGAGATAAATGGTGTGTGATCGTGCATTTATATATGTGTATAATGCACACACAGTTTTTAAAGTGAAATATGCCCCCAGATCTCTCTGGCACAGAGGGATCTTATTTCTAGCTGAATTGTCTAATGTCCTCTCTTAATCAAGGCTTCCTATTTGAAACCTCTGTTCTTTCGAGTCAGCCCCCTTTTATTCTGTTGGACGTACTAGCACATTCTTCCTGCTAGTTCCTGCATGCGTTTTATTTGCCTGTCTCACCAGTTATATACTGGGACCACCCCAGAGCTTGTCACATGCTATTAGCATGACTTTCTTTAGGATTGAAACCTTGCCTGACAAACAGAACCCCAGACTCCCACAAATAAGCCTGAAGGACTCATTCAGGGAAAGAGAACCTTGCTGTGTCAGGAACTGAAGGCAGTTAACTGGTAGTTGAGAGATTCTCAATTCCCAAGTGCAACTCTAACAGCGAAACCCGAGGAACTGTTTTCTGAGGCGACTTTGTCTCCGAGACACATCTTTGAACTCAGTTCATTTTCTTTTTAAACGTGATGTTAGCACAGAAACTGAGCAGAATACAAGTCCGCATCTAGTTCTTAGCAAAGGATAATGGAAAAACCCGTCTAGAAACCTATTCTTCAACAGCACACGAATATATTAGTGTACACTAATAATAAATCAGTTGCACTGATTTCCAAAATAACGTGGTCCCTGCGCCCAGCCCCTCTTCCCGCTCGTAGGCAGTGTCGAAACACTTGAAAAATGGAATTTAGAAATGGAGAGAGACCAGAGTTCCAATCGAACTTCCGTCAGTATTCTAGCTCTGTGACCTTTGGAAAGTGATTGAATTTCTTTTTTTTCAAATGCCCTTATTGAAGTCAGAATGTCAGAGTTCCTAGGTAACTGTTGCCTTGTTACCAATTGAGGCAGAAGGTTAAGATGAGACTTAAACTTTGGAAATTTGATGCTATTACCCCCCCTAGATGCCTCACCCTGCTGGGTGTGTTTTCCCCAATTTTATTTGCAGTATATTCCCTTAAGCAGTTTGCCACTCGCAGGCTCCCTGGCACATAGTTTGTGTGTCAGTAGGTGAAAAGCGCCGCTATGGGTTTTGGCCATGCTGCCTTTCTGTTACATGGGCCTACTCCAACGCCGACTTCCTGTGTTGCCAGCACTGCAACAGAAATGGATTTGAACGTAGAGAAAACTTGTCCTTCTGGGTCAGTTTAGGGCCCAGGTAGAAGAAGTGTGAGGAGATGAACAAGAATCTTGTTGAGGTTTGGGGTTGGGGGGCCTTATTGCAGGGAGTGGCACCCAAGGGAGGGCCAGGGGGAGTCGGGGTTACCTTGGGAGCTAATTTGAATTTGGGGGGGGTATTCCATTTCCACCCAACTCAGAGCATGAAGCTGGACTGTCATCCTTCTGACCTTGCCTTGTTTTGCTGTAGATCTTACTCTAGCACCTCCATAGAAGAGGCCATGAAACGAGGGGAGGACCCCCCCACCCCACCACCGAGGCCGCAGAAAACCCATTCCAGAGCATCCTCCTTGGATCTGAATAAAGTCTTCCAGTCCAGCGAGCCAGGTGAAGTGCCATCTGCCCCAGGGGGGAGGTGGAGGCATGCCACACGGGCGAATGACGGGTGGCTTCTGGAACATGGCAAAGGTGCTTCATGGCACAGTGGCTTTCTGGGGACAGAATGAGGCTCCGCCTTCCCGTACTCACCGAGGACCTGGGCCCATGGCATTGGCCACTGTAGCCCTGGGTGGCCCCTGACCGTGAAGTCAGTATTGTCCATGCCCTTGTGGTAGTTTGCTTACACAGTGGCTGCCTGTCATTCATTTTCTGCATCTTCAGAGGAGGGGTTCTGTGAATGAGCTCAGTCAGTAACGGGACTCAATCTATGGTTCCGGGGATCGAACCCGGATCAGCTGCGTGCAAGGCAAGTGCCCTGCCTGCTATTCTATTGCTCTAGCCCCAGCCGTTTTGTTCCCATGAGAAGACTCTGGGCCACCGTGTGCGTGGGCTCAACCTGATCAATGGGTAGGTGGTTGGTGCTGATGGCTCGGTCCCGGGAACTTCTGGGGGTGAGACTTTCTTTGTTTTTCTTTTTTTTGTTGGGGGTGGGGGCTCTCTGGTAGTACACAGCCCCTGCTCCCCTAGTGATGATTGCCCTGACTAAAGTGCTGCTTAGCTAGCAGTGCTGGGGGCTACCACGCCCACCCCTTCAACACTGGTGGTGGGGGGAAGGGGTCTCCAGGACTACACGGTAGAGGTTGAGGAACCAAGCGGGGCTGGGAATCGAACTCGGGGTATCCACGTACAAAGCATGTGCTCCCGCCCTTTGGTTTCTTCAGCCAGTTGCTGCTCGACTGAGCTTGAAGTGGGAGACTCCATCCCCTGCCTCCCTATGACTCTGGGCCGGAAAACAGCGGACAGGAAATGCCACTGCTTGAGGAGAGGTGTGAGAATGCAGAGGAGCTGCGTGTGCCTTTGCCCCCGGCGCATACAGCAAGCTGTAAATGCAGCGATTTCCCAAATTTTTGTCTCTATCCCTGTGTCCTTTCAGTCAGGCCAGCCGCAGATGCTAGTGATTTGCAGATTATTATCTTTTCAACTAAAGCAAGGAAAGACCGTCCTTGGCTCACACATTAGAATGACCTCTGTGTCCCGGCCCAACATGTTTTATTTGTTCTAATAAAACCCTCGTCTCACAGTAACGTTAGAGATTGGTTTTTAATATACGAGAATCTGGAATTCTCTATAAAGTTTGATTCTCTGCCATGAGTTCATCAGATAAAAATTTGCCTTGAATCCCCGTCCCCATACTTTGATTCAAAGTTCTGGCAGAATTTCATAGTAACCGGTATTCGGGGCTGGGAGTAGCTGTGCATGATGATGCTATAAAAATTTCACGTGGTGGTAGATTATGACCTAAACGATTTTTCTGCGGATGCAAGGATATTAAAACCATCTGGGCAGCTCACACAGCGTCCTTGCAAGGAGAGATTGTAAACGTGCAGGCATCTCTCAGGCCGGCTGGGTGGGAGAACGGACTTGCTGTGGCTTTTGACAATGTCGCCTCACACAGTGGAACAAAGCACACTGGGTTCGGCGGCCAGGGCAGCTGCTCAGCAACTGATGGAGTTTTCAGGAACGGTTGGATCTTTCTGCGTCTTAGGCTCCTGATCTGTCGAATGGGGTAGCTCGCCCACATAGTGGCAAGGCTGGGCCGGGTGGCAATCTCCGTTTGAGTAGGTGCCGTGTTTCCTAGGCTCATATTCCTGTACAAGCTCCCGTTCCCGGGCCTGCAAACCTCAGGGTTGGTTTCCTGCCTGTGGCGGCCTGCTTCTGCCTAGGAGGGAAGAGGGTTGAGGAGAAAGTCCTCGGAATCCTTTGACCCACTGGGACAGTTCTGGGATTTGTTCCCAAGTGTCTGCTTGCCATGGTGCCACGTTTATAGTCGCCCTCTCACCTCTTCCCCTCTGCCCAGTTTCACTCCCCCTTATCCCTCAAGCCTGTTCCCAGGTCCCTGTCTCCAGGGCTACTTTAGGGAGAACCCGAGCTAAGGCAGCTACTTTGTGCATCTCCAATGTTGGCATGAGTTTAAGGAGAAATTCTTAAATTGGGTTGCATAAGTGGGAAGGAAGAGCATGGTGGCTCAACTCAAAGACCAACTCTTTCAGCACGCCTTTCTACAAAGCAAGTTTCTAGCCAGCCCCTCCTCCCATTTTTTAGGTCATACTCAGCACCCTTTGGGTCCTTCTACAGGCCTGGTGCATGGGAGTTGCTCCTGGAAGTGCTCAGGGAAACAGAGTGGTAGGGATGGAACCCAGGGCCTCCTGCATGGAAGGCCAGAGCTCTACCACCAAGCCACATCATGGCCCCAACCAATGAAAGTTGAACGTGCAGCTTTCAGTTGGGCGTTTCTGAGGTAGGAGAAGCAGGTGGTTCCATTCCATCTACTCAATTTGTTTCCCTGCTGTTTAGTTGGCACAGGAAGCTACAAGGATCTAACAGAGTGACATGGCCTCTCAGTGTATTGCATGTTGCTGGGAATGGTGTGGACGCTCACAGATGTGGAAAGCGTGGACTAGAAACTGTCAGGATAGCGCACCCCTGAGAACCATGGGCCCCTGGTCCTCTGTGTATCGTTGTCCAGAATCAGTCACTCAATCCTTGCTGTCCGCTATCCCATGCGTCCCAGGGAGCCCTCTTTGCTTTCCGAGTGGGGAACTGCATCCTTTCTTTGAAGGCCTGCATGACAAGGACATCATTGGCGGGGTGTCTCCTGCGCTGCACCCCACGTTCTTCTCGCAGTCCTCGCCTTGCTCTGGGCACCCCTTCTAAGGCTCTTCTCATCTTCCTTACACCCCTCTGTGGTCTCTCATGCTCTTGCCTGCCCCTGGCGTTTCTGTCCCTCCTCTTCCTCACTGCTTCTCTCTTTCCTCGCCCCTCCCCTGGCCTTCATCATCGAGGTCCTCATTTTTGTGGCTCCGCCCCCTTGCCTCCGCTGTCATAAGCAGGGCAGAGTTTTGCAGCCCCCCATCACTGTTGGCTTTGCTTTGGGGTCTCCTTCTTTTCCTGGGCTTCCATTCTCCATGCTGGCCTTGCCTCTCCAGAGGCACACAAATGGAGCCAGACTGTGTGCTAGAAAAGTTGGATTTCTGCAGTTCAATCCACCCCTGATGTTGCTTGCAGAGTTTCCTCACACCCCTGCCCTCAGTGCTCACCTTTGGACTTGTTACCAGTCCCCTAGCAAATGTTTGCCTTTCCCATGCTCCTGGCACGAGTAAACATCTTCCATATCATTACTAGCCATTTTTTCTCCTTTGGTGTGCAGAAAGACCTGCGCTCCCAGTCTTGGCCCGACAGCCTCAAGGGGCCTCTTGTATTCTGTTCACTTTTCCTGTGACATGCTGGGGCGCTCTCTCTTATCACACATACTTGGAAAGCAGAGGGTGGCCGTGGCAGCCAAATTTGCTGCTCTGTTCCCCCTCGGCACCCCATCTCTTGCCAGTTCTTTTTTTTATTTTATATTTTTATTAGTGAAACACCATGAGGTACAGTTGTAGACTTAGAAATTTTTGTGCTTGGGTTTCGACTATACAATGATCAAATACCCATCCCTCCACCCCATCCCTCCACCAGTGCCCATTTTCCATAACCATGGATCCCAGTATCCCTCCCCCCCATTCCCCCCCCCATCCCACCCTGCCTCTGTGGCAGGGCATTCCCTTTTGTTTTCTCTCTCCTTTTGGGTGTTGTGGTCTGCAAAAGAGGCATTGAGTGGCAATCATGTTCGGTCTATAGTCTACTTTGAACATGCATCTCCCCTCCTGGGAGGATCCTCCCAACACCCTTTACTTGATGCTCCCTTCTCTATCTGAGCTGCCCCTTCCTCTAGAATGCCCCGCTAGCCTCTAGGCCATGGAACAATCCTCCTGGTACTGATCTTGGCTATTCTTGGGTATTAATCTCCTATTTTGATACTTTATGTCCCCCAGATGAATGCAATCTTTTTATGTCTATCCCGCTCTTTCTGACTCATTTTGCTTAGCATGATACTTTCCATGTAGTACCACTTGTATGTAAATTTCATGACTTCATCTTTTCTAACCTCTTGCCAGTTCTACACTGAAGATAGATCGTCTTTGGGCTGCCCCATTCGTAATAGTAGAAGAATAAGGAAAGGAGGGAAAGACCATGCGTGAGGGAACAAGACGTGACTTGAGTCAAAGGGGAACAATAAAACGAAGCCTCTGGTTTTCAAAAACAGGAGTGAGGCCTAGTAGCTGAGGCAGAGGTGGCCTAAAGTCGAGTGAGAGTGTGGGGAAGCTGTTGGGTGCAAAGTAGATGCAAAGAATTTGGGTCGAAAGACGAAGGAAGGCAAAGATGAAGGAAGGAAGAGAGAAAGAAGGAAAAAAGTGGTTGGTCCAGTGGTGACGCTGTTTACACAGAGACAGGAGTAGCCCATAGAAGGAAAGACTGGGTCGAGGCTGAGGTCGGTGTTGAGGGTATAGGTTTGAAATGTCACACAGATGCCATCACGGTTGTGGAGATGGGTGACGTGATTGGGGCAAAATAGCCAGAGGCTGACTAGGAATTGGAACTCATTAAAATGAAAGATCAGGGTGGGGCTGGGGCAATTGTACAGCTGGTGTAGGGTGTTTGCCTTACACATGGCCAACCCGGGTTCGATCACTGGCATCCCATATGGTCCCCCGAGCACTGCCAGGCGTTATTTCTGAGTGCAGAGCCAGGAGTAACCCCTGAGCATCACTGGGTGTGATCCAAAAAGAAAAAAAAAATACCAGGGCAAGGTTGGAAGCAGGAGCCAAGTGGGTTGCAGTTAGTTCACAGTAACGTTCTTGCAGGGCTGGAGCGATAGCAGGGCGGTAGGGCGTTTGCCTTGCACTCAGCCAGCCTGGCCAAGCCGGGTTCGATTCCTCCGCCCCTCTCGGAGAGCCCGGCCAGCCACCGAGAGTATCTCGCCCGCATGGCAAAGCATGGGAAGCTCCCCGTGATGTATTCAATATGCCAAACACAGTAACAGCAAGTCTCAAAAAAAAAAAAAAAGGAGA